GAGAGAGAGAGGGAGGAGCGAAATGTAAGATTGGCTATCGCGAAAACTGTATGCATTATGGGGCTTATACTGGAATACATGATCTACCCATCAACGTCTATTAGTTGATCAATCAGTGAACCAATCAGAGTAAACACCAGTCCCAATTGGTTTAACACCTAGCCTCAGACCCATGTTGTAATCCGTACATCCGTTAATCACCCCGGTTAGTCCCAACTTCAACTTCAACTGATGGATCCCAATCATTTATAGGAGGAAAGGGCTAAGAGAACATCGAATAGCGTCTATTAGTAGTCACCCTTTTCCAAAACGAAAGCCTCTTGGATTTATCCTTGTTCGGCGGGGCTCGAGGTTGTGGCGAGGAAGGAAGCTGGGAAACAGCACCAGAGGCAATGCTCTCCTGAATAAACTTTCTCAAAGGTTCGGTTTCGGGAATGCCGATAGAAGCTTGGATAGACTTGGCAGGAGGTTGCCTATCCTGTGCCGTGGTAGTGGGTTTGTCGAGGGGATTTGGTTCCTTTTCTCTCTCTGCTTCAACTTCCTGCCGCTGACCGAGAACTTGGTCTATACTCAGCCCCAGAGGTTGAATCTTAGCAAGCTGTAGATAGCCGCCATCACAAGAACCACCCTTAATCACCATATCTTGCCCCTCCCTATTACAACTATCCTCCACCCCCTCCTCAACAGCGGTAGAGCTCCCCGGCTGATCAATCCCACTCCCGGTGCTTGGAGAAAATGAGTGAACCCATTCTCCATCACTGTCGCTAGCACCGTCCGATACATAAATGTTCGGATCCATCAATTCATCCTCTGGAGGGATCGCTTGCATCCATGTGTACACTCTAGCTTCAAGTTCTTGCCTCATCTGCATCCTCATCTGGTGGGCCGTGATGGCCGTTAAATTCTTTTGGGAGGGGCTGTTGCTCGGGCCTCCTTGGTGTGCGGGAACGGAGATGAATTTGCCGGTTTGGGAGCAGCCTTGATGAGAGTGCCCAGAATGGCCGAACTGTGGGTATGTTAAGTGCGCTGTTATATGATGCAGTCTGCGTGAAGGGGAGGAATGGCTTACAGCTAAACGCCTAAACAGCCTTTGCACAGGTGGGCGAACACGGTGGGAGACAAAAAACTTGAGACCGTCCACGGTGTTCTCCTTTATCGTGTGGAGCATGTTTGTGTCTATGATTGATTTCATGGATAATTTTTCTCTTTCTCCTTGTATTTTGGTATGCTAGTGGTGGTGGTGGTGGTGGCGGCGGTGGCGGTGGTGATGGTGATGGTAATGGTAGAGAGAGAGAGAGAGAGAGAGAACTTCCGTCTTCTTAGGTCATGGATGGGGGGATGGGGGCGTGGAGTTTTTTTTGCCTTCTAAGGTGTTGGCGGGTTGGAAAGTTGGGCATTCAATTTTCTTCTCTCCTTGGACCCGGCTCTTTCTTGAAATTGATGCCCTCTACGGCGAAGGCGACCACGTAAGTTGTATGCATTCATTGCATTTTTATACGATTAAACTTACGCTGCTCAAATTTTAAGTTTTGCTGCCGCGGGAGGGGATTCGTTCGATACCCACGTTCTCACCAACTTCATGGCTGCAGTGTTTGAGGGATCGCTTCAATACCCTCGCAATCCACCGTTATTCCCCATGCCGGAAGGGTTCATGGGGCCACCGCAGAGAATAGATGTTGAAGAACCGCGATTCCCTCCTTGTCCTCTTTCCCCCCACGATGTCTACGAAACAATAACATACCCAAGGAAGACGTACAAGTGCATCTAATGGTAGGACACATCACGGGCAGTATTTTAACGCAGTACACGGGATGATCTTTCAGGAGTCGCACGTCCCGCAGGGTGGAATTAAGCGCATTTCACGGATCAGTTATTTCTCCCCTTTTCTCCACATTCTCAATCCCGACGGTCGGATTGGATAGAGCAGTATTGAAATCAGATGGTTGAGGGAGAACATTTTATTAAATCACTGTATGTTCACTCATAGCAGCTCTCGAAATCTCCGAGTGGGGATGGGCAACAAGCGCTCCGCCCTAGGAGATCAGGAAATCACCTCAAAGAGTAATAGATTCCACGATACAAGGTAATGTGGCCATAGTCTACAGAAGGATGCTGTCATTACCAAAGCCGGGGGGTTTTTATTGTCATTGTGCACAATTACAGCCGCTCTTTAGGTATCCAAAGTGTGAGGAACTACAAACATTATCCGGTTCACGCCGCGTTTATCAGAAAACTTTTCAGATGTTCTATGGAATATTCCAATAGCTGCACATCTCACCCTCCGCCTTGCCCAACTTCCCGAGGACACTCTCAAATCCGCTCCTTTTGCACATCACTCGAAATCCCCAAACAGTATTTCCTCAACCACAGGGGCCCATCCCTTCACAATCTCGTCCCTCTGCCCCATCTCCTTCCAATCTACCACATCTTTCAGAGACAGCTCTTTCAAGACTGGAAACAGTACTAGGTCTCCGAGTCTCGCAATCTCAAACTTCCCCACAAGCTCGCACTCAACAAGCGCACTACCCAGACGCTGTCCCAGATCAACCAACGATTTCTCCGTAAGTCGTGTCTCATGAAACCCGAGTCTTAGCACTTTAACTGTGTCTGGGAATTCGTGCACAAAGGTTGCTATATGTTGGTCCTGGAGGGATGGTGAAGTTATCATTCCGGTTACACTCAGATGTGTTAACCTCTGCAGGTTGCGTGGTACAACGAGGATCTCTCCTGGTGGTATCTCGATGTGGGAAGGTGAGGAGGTGTATGTTACACAAAGATACTCCAACTCTGGACAAGTTTTGGAAAACCTTTCCAGAAAGTTCTCCGCAGGGTCCACAAGTATGATCTCCGCCCTTGCCAGTATTCTCAGGTCCCCGGACAGAAGGAGCATTCCGGCGGCAGACACGGTGCACGTCAAACCGACCAAACCCGGGAATAGATCTTCTCCTCCGGTGTGCGCTCGTGCGGATACGACAAAGTCCTCGCTGACCACCCCGCCCATCCCCAAGATTTCTAAGCTCCGCCGTGAGGATAGCTCGCAAAACACCTCCTTTGTTATCAATCTTTCCATGCCGTACATGAGCACAACTCTCTTCAACCGCTTCGCTCCCTCCAGGAAACGCAAAAAACCTGCCGGCGTAACCACATCGCGTGGATTATCTATGAGGACTTCTTCCAAAAGTGGACATTTTCCCTACCTCACTCGTCCGTTAGCCCTTCTCCAGTCTACTATTTATCCCGGACACTCACAGCTAAATCGCTCAGGAACTCGTCATCCAGCACACCCCCAAAGAACTCGAAGACGCGGAGCCTCGGCTGAAGATACGGTTCCAGAACCCGTCCGGAAGAATTAGCTTCGGAGGAATCGATGGTAATCGATTGAAGATTCGGTAGAGGAACGTCCCGAAATAGCGCATGATGCTCGCAGTCCTGAGGGTCCAGGTCCAAGCATTCTATCTTAGTGGCGGCAGACAGGAGATCGGTTCTCCCGAGGGTTAACAGAGGTAGAACTTGAGTTGGTTCCATAGCGCGTGCAAATTTGTGGACGGGTTTCCTTTTCAGCGTCAGGTTTTGTATGGTGCGGTCTGGTGTGATGTGGAGTTGCAAGGAGGGAGGGGCTACGATAAGCGGGACACCGACGTGGGGATAAGGTTATCGCGTAACTTAACTTATCCGCATGCAGGCAGCAGGCATTTGGCACGGTACGTACCGTACCCGCACCTTCTGACAGTTGCCAAGACGGGTACGAGTACCGGTACAAGGGACGGTTGTTCCCGCCCCTGGCCAGTTGTGCGGGGATTTACACGGTCGGGAATTACCGTAAACCAAGGGGTCCGGATGGCAATCCCTTTGCCTGTACTCGTACTTGTATTCAAACACTGTTGTTAAGGCTGCACTAGCTGTGGTAGAAGTGATAAAGCGAGGAAGTAGCTGGAAAGAGTATCCCTCGAAACAACTTAGACATTTAGCCTGCGGAGTGTACGGTACTCGAGTACAGTAGAGTGGTGAACACTAGCCTGTTTAATCCGTCGGGATTAAGTTTACGCAGACCCTCTCTTTCTGTCATGGCCATGTTGTGTTTTATGAACCTTGCAATATTCTGAGCACCACGATATTTGCATGCCACAAGGTTTTTCCTGTCACGATTGCTTGGGTGGGCTAGTGCTCAATATTTTAAACAGGGCTGTACTGTACTATGTTGAAGATGTTGAAGGTGATCTTCCCACAACGAGTAAAGGATAAACACAAGGGGTTGCATCGGGTACCCGTGTAGCCGTACGGTACGAGTACTGTTGTGAGCTAATAAGGCCCTCATATTTTGGGAAGCACCTAGGTACTTGCACCCGGAAGTAAAAACACAGGTGAGGGTGAGAACCGGTCTCACAGAAATCGCAAAAACTCTGTACCGATGAAAAGGACAAGGCTGAGATATTTTTTTTACCGGAGAAGTTGGATTCTAAATCGCACTCTGATGTTTTAAGCGAGGGTTTTTTTTTTTCTTCTTCTTCCCCCTCTTGGGCTTTTGTGGGAGCGCAGAGCCTCATCAGGAGAATTACGGTACATCCCGGCACCTCACACGGAACATCCACAACCGCCCCTTCCACCAGAGGTAGAACTACCGAATCGGCGCACCTGAACGGCACATAATTCTTATCATGCGTCACAACCGGTTGGCCTAAACATGGCCTTTAAAATACGGGTGGTTCAAGGGTTGAAAAGAGGGTGCACCGGTTTTTTAACGCCATGCCGTAGTCTGCATCTGCATCTGCGTGACCTGACGCCCGAGTCGGGGGGGGGTTTTTTTTTTTTAATTTAGTTTAACGGCTGACAGTCCACCGACGCGTGCTCGGGGTTAGTCTGTTAGAAATAGTAGGGGTATTTCTTCTTACCTCCCCCTCCTCGCTCTTTGCTAGATAGTGCAAGCGTACAAATGACGGTATTTACCTCCATTCAGGAGTAACGGAGGGGGTGACGGGAGGATGGGTAGGGATTGATACCGGTTTAGAAAGTGAGGGGAAGTGGGAGGTATCATTTGATGATCTGAAATACAAGGAAAATTGTGGGCATTTACAGACAGTGTTGGCGAGATTGGAGAGGCGGGAGAAAAGAAGAAATCCTCCACCATCCGAGCTCTTCCGACAGCACTAGTTCAGATTCAGTGCGCGTGATCGGTATCGGTATCCGTCTGCGATCTGTTTTGGTGCCCGCGATCGGGTGTCTCGGTTCGGCTGGGGTATGATCACTGCAGACATAGATGACTGTGCCAAGTGACGGGGAGCCAGCTCTGGCTATGGTGTGTTTCGACGTCTCGTTTCTTCGTATCATAAGACCCCGGTAATTGCATTGGATAGCTATTCCTTTACACTTTGCCTAGAAGTGGGAATCCCTTTTCTTTTCTTTTCTTTTCCTTTTCATTTTTAACTATAGCCCACCTGCCCGACCAGCTGCCGCTTGGAAACGTTATAGGTATCCGTTTACTCCTCCGGGGTCCAACTTCAACCAGGCGATAATTTCCGATCTTGCGCACTGTCTGGTAAGCGAAACTCACAGGGTTATGTTCAACACATTGGTGAATCATCGGGGTCCTGATTAAGCAAGTGGCCATTAGACAGAGCGATTCAAGTTTACCATCCTTTGATATCTTCCCCATTGGTCGGGCAGCTCTGGGGCCCGTGTGGACGACTACTAAGGTTGAAATAGTAAACGTACAGTGCACAGTTCGTGCGAGACCATCACAAGACCATCACAGGTGGATTTAGGAAGCCGGGGAGGAGGGAGGAGGGGTTACTGGTAGTCCGTGTTTGTCGATTGGCTTATCCCGGCACCCTTTAGCCGTTGGCGTCCTGGATTCCCTATTGATTGACGATCCACATGGAATGCCATCTATCCCGCTGATCGGCCTCCTACCGGTATTTCAATCTTTCTAGCCGGAGGACCACAGGCGTTGGCGGGTTGGACACGAGCAGCTTCTGGGTATTGTACATAGCGTTCCCTCCTGACAGTGACACCTCTGAACGGGCCCTGCCTGGCCCAGAAGGCAGGCCCCTATATGGAAAATACAGTGTCCCTGATGGTGGTGATGCGACTACAGGAGATGGCAGGGGATGCGCAAGGAAGCAAACATGCCAAACTGCGCGAGCTAGGTCCTGTGATTTTGCCTCCGCCCACCTACTTGTACACCCACTGAATTCCGAAAAATAAATGCACACTGGCAGGAACGAACAATATGCGAGAATGTTAAAGCTTGGATTTAACCTATGAAAATACCAGCCACCCGAGGATAAGCTTCTGGCCTTTATCTGCTTTGAAATGGCAATGGAGGAACGTTCCGCTCGTGCATACTAAGGAAGCATTACGTTACTGGGTATGGTAGCAATAATATCATCAATGGTAATGGCGGTAAAGTACTTATATATTACTGAGGGGAGCCCAAGCAAAGAGGGCCGAAGGCAGGATGTACGTCCGGGAGGAGTATTCGGGATCGGGAGGTCTGTACGTCCAATAGCGGGATGGCCTGGGAACTTTCTGCAGTCCCTTTCCGTCCTTTGGGAATGTTTTCTGATAATTGAGGGGTAGGCGTCTGCCCGTTGGTTCCCTACTATAGTACTATATATCGCCTTAAGAACGTCCAACCCCCCCCCCCCCCCCCCTCGCACCGTATCCCTCGCCACAATATCAAATCAGTAAATTTTTTTAGTTTCTTTACTGTCCTTGTATTTTAGACTCTACAGTACAGAATTGGTATCTGATATGTTTAGTACCAGAAATGACGGAGTGAAAACGATGGCCAGAGAATAGATGTGTCCTCGGAATTGATGTATCCGAAACATCACCTGCTGGCGAAAGCTGAATTGCGATACTTAGGACGGCGGGCGATCGCTCTGGATGGTAAATAGTGTACTGCACCGCACGGGGGCAAAAGTCTCTCTTTAGACCCGCTATTTCTGTCAAGACTATCTACCTTAATCCCCTCCTCAGGGGCCACAAATGTCCGAGAATCCCCACAAAACTTATAGAGCGTTATCAATCCCGTGGCTAGCGTGAAGAAAGAAAAACAAAAGTTGTCAAGTAGCGGGTTAATTTAAATGGAAGGCGGGTTATTCCATCGTCACATATGGCCACCTTCTGATAATGTATTTCCATAGATAAAATTGAAGTCACTTCGTCCGTCCTGTCTGGGGGGGTTGTGGATGATAAGTGCACTTATTTTGTTTGATGCTTGTGTAATTGGTTTTCTAGCCTGTGATGAGACTCCGGTACTCACTTTTTGACAGGGTAACGTTGGGGCTGTTATGAGGATGCGTGTTTTGGGGGGTAAAGTGAGTGGCGAAAGAAGACTTCTGAAGCTGGTGCTTTATATCATAGTATAGGACGTGGATGTTCGGTTGGGGTTAGTGTTGATGTGCTCTCGGAGGGTTCCCTTGACGGATAAGGGTTGAGTGGGGATGTTGGAATTTCGTTGGTGTCATGGGTATATAACTCGAGCCGAGAGCCTTCTGGTATCTGATCAAAATATTGGGGATTTAGCATAGAAGCGACGTGCGGTAGGGTTTAATGCCCGGTAGCGTTTCACTAATCTTCCGCACTTCGTGGGATATTGAAGAAAAATATTTCAATAGTTGACATGTTTTATTAGGATCAGGCTATGGTGGATAAGAGAGGAATTAGGAAAACGAGGATAGCTGCAGAAGGACCGGGTTGGGGAGAGAGTTGTTGAAAGATGCTTGGGGTCTGATCCCCTCTTGACCTTCAAACTGTTGATAGTTTCATGGTCTATCCGACTTCATCTGAGTCCATATATCCTCTGGAATGAATCCCTCCCTTTGATTTTCCGGTTTAACAACTGGTGGTGCGACACGCACGTGTTGCTGGAGACAGTCCTCCCTCTGATGCGTAATTAGCGTGAAAATAATTGCGCTGGCCTATTGTAACTTACAGGCCACCTACTGCTAGGCCTACCCTGCCATCTACACAATCGCCGGCCGTAAAGCGTGATCCCCCACAGTCCCCAAAGCCCCCGGTAGCGGTCAACCACCCCTGGGCAAGGAGGTCTCGGGCTGTCGGCCCTACCGTCCTTCGCTATAACGGGCATCATTGGATTTTAGGTACGAGAATAGGATGTTTTACGCCGTCCGCCCCAGGACCCTTGAGGACATTGCCGAGTGATGGATAATAAGGCGGTGGGTTGTTGTGGAAGCTATATTTTAGTTGTGTAATATTGAGGATGGAGAGGGGCGGCGGGTCGGAGGCTAATCGTTGGGGTTTACGGTATAGTACGGGGTACCTGGACACATGGTCAGTCTAGTGCTTGACTTGCCGGGGGTAGGGGGCCTCAGCATCCCATAAAGACGGACAATGGCCCATAGTCCATCCTGTCCCCTGCAGAGTGACATCCTCGGGTATCATCTCAACCACCAACTCTTCGGCCGCCAAAATTAGCCGAGCCCAATAAGTCCGTGTCCGCCACCTATCCCGCTTGGCCTAGATTGCTGTAGTTTACTGGTTGCCGTGGTATTTTGGTTGCCCTTTTGCCTTCCACACCGGTGGTTGTGGAGTTGTGTATCGTGTGTTGCTGCCTGAGGGAAAGGTGAAAGCGGGGAAGAGGGGCCACGTGACTTTATATACCCACTATCGCTAGCTAAGCCTCAATGTGAGTTACGATAGCAGAAACTCAAGCTGGCAAAAAAGAAACCCGGGTGGTGTCGTGTCGTAAGGCGGTGTCGTGTCGTAAGGCTCACCATTCCAGGAGCTCAGATTG